TAGGTATCAGACTGTGTTATGTATAGCAGAATTTGAAGTGGGTTTTCACCTACAGCATTGGATATTAGTAAAACATCTGTTTTGCTGGTAAAACAAAAAGGTACATGTGTGTTAAGTGGGTGCATCCATTCTTTTAATTTTATGTCAACTGCATCTAAAACTGGTTGCAGTGGATTTTAAAAGTGTTTGTGATCGTGTGTTTAAGTAACGGAAAAGAGGTTCTTATCCAATACATAACCAAACTTTTTATGCAGTGAATTCTATTTGATCTGTTAAAGCATAGTTGTTGTGAGGATAAGACCTCTGAGGGAAGATTAATATATATTTAGATCATTACAAAATTATCTTCTTTCTCTTATATTATACCTAGCTTGAAAAATAAAATTACAGAAAGACCTGAGTAATACTGCTCTGAAAGCTTTTACTTTTAAAAAAACTCAAAACTTTCCTTTGAAGCCTAGAGATTATACTGCATACTAAAGGATCTTTTGGTCACAAAAGTCATACTTTTGAATAGGTGCTGAAAACATATTTCTGTTTACTGGGAACAGTTTTAAAGCTACAGAAGACGAGTAGGAGGAGGACTGAGCTGATATACAAATGTTCATCTCATATTCGAGTTGACTTTTTTCCCAGTGTTTGTTGTTTGAGTGTGTTGTAATTATGCCATGTTGCAAGGGGCCACAATAAATTATAAGAAGCCTGCAATAAGAAATACCATTTCCCAGAGGCATAGTTTATTTTCATGTCTTTCAGGATTTGTGTGCGGGGTTTTTTAGACATTAATAATTAGTACAAACTTATAGTAAAACTCAGTTAAAAATAGAATAATGTGGAACTAGAATAGGTAAGATCTTTTTTTTTTTCTCCCTGTGTGCTTCAGAGGGGTTCATCAGGGAAATGTCTGAATATTAAATTTTTTCACTTTTCTTAGTTATGTATTTGGTGGTGTTCTGTGGTTTTCTGAGGATTTTCCAGGATAAACTTTTGGATTATTTAATTAACTGTGGATTCCATGAGACTGGAATCCTTGGACATTTATGATGCACAAATACCTTTATTAATTAACAAAATTAATTAATCAAGAGCATTTCACAAATGGAGAAAAAGCCTTCTATTGAAAAGTGAATTAAAACATAAATTCTGTAATGAATGTTCTCTCAGCTTCTATTTAAAGAGTAATTTTTCACATAAACATTTATTAGGTGATTGTAGGCACTCAAATAGAGTAATACTGGAATTATTTGACTGTCTAGCAGGACTTTTTTCCCTGTTATGGCTCCTCTGCTATTAATTTGAAAGAAATATAATAGCTAAAGATGCTGTTATTTAATAGAAAGTGCTAATTATTACAAGTGCTATTTTGGGGCATTGTTGCTGTTACTGTATAAATTTTTGTATAAGTCTAACCTGTTTGGAAGCCAGCTCATCTACTACCTGTATATTTCAGCCCAACTATTTAGAATTTAATCAGCTCACACTGTTATGATTATCTAGAGCAGAAGGTAGTTTTTCAGTGAAAGCACGCAATAGAACTGGGAACTTGGTAGTACAGTCATGGTTTGGACAGGAGGACTGCCACTTGGTTTCTGTCATCTTCTTTCTCTTTAGTTGCAGTTCTCTGGCAGAGAATATGTTGCCAGAAGTGACCCAGGGGAAAGGACAGACTTTCAGTTCACTGTTGAAATTGAACAGGAAACTAACACAGTTTCAGACTCCCTCTCAAAGCAGACAGCTATGTTGTGTTTCAAAAGATACTGTTCTTTGGCAGTCATTTACCTAAAGTCATCACGTGCTTAGACTCACATAATAATCATAGTGAGAGGTTTAGGTGGACCAGAAGGAAGAGCCGTGCTGCTGTTAAATTGTGTCAATGTGAAAATTACAATCATTTGAGAAAAAGCAATAGCACCTATCATTTTGAGACATCTACCATTGCATTTAGACATTAGCAGTAAGTTCTTCTAGAAATAATTTATTCTTCTCCTGTAAAATGCCATATAAAGGAGACTACTGAAGAATCAATGCAGAGTAGTAGGGGATATAGTAGTTCAAATGTTGGTATTTGCATAGGGAAGATTAGCTTCTCAAGACATACAGGGTTTTTAAGGTGAAGGCAGCAAATGCTGTTAAGAAAGAAGATTGTTGGAGAGTTCAAGTAAACCCCCTGAGTCAATAAAAATTCTTCTCCATTTCTGATTCTGAAGCATCCTTAAGGCAAGACCGTCTAGATTAACCTGGGTGTTGTTTTTTTACAGGTCTGACCTTACAAGGCATTTAATGACCTTTGTATAAGCTCAGACTAAGTGAGAGTCCCAACAGGTCACAGTGCTATATAAACTTCATTTTTTGATGAAGTAGAAATGTCCTTCTACAATCCTGAACTCAATTTCAGTACCTCACTGTAGTAGTAGAAAAGTTTGCACAGCTGGGATCAGAGATAACCAAAGCAAGCAGCACTGAGGCTGTTAGTCACACCTGCTCATTGTCACTTACATGCTTGATCAGGCATGGAACCACCTCAAGCCAATAGATGTGTAAAATTGCTTTAAAAATCTACTGCATCGTTTGAGGAAGAAGGGATGGATATTCCCTTGCTTGCTGAATGGACCTTGTTTTGTGAACGAAGAACAGAATTTGGGTTTGGGGTTTTTTTGTTTTTTGTTTTTTTTTTTTAGTATGACTGTTCTGAATGTAGGAGCTACTAAAGGAATGCTTGATAACCGAAAACAACTAACGGAAAACACTGAAAACTAGTTTGGGGTAACCAACAGCTGTGATCAGTATGAAAAAATAGCATTGGCTCTGTGGCACGTAGAATATTTGGACCCAAGTGTTGTGGTCCATTTAGTGTTTACACCTCAAGCAAAGTAGTAAGAATTTCCTGCTTGTTTCAGAAGGCGGCTCTAGTCGCAGAAAACGCTAAGTCAAAACCAGTGCCAGCTGCTAGAAGTCAGTACAGCACTCCCTATATCTTTTCATTACACATCTGTCTCTTTCCTATGCTTGCAGCAGAACAGGTCTGCGCTGCACTTTATTCAGGCTGAATTGGGCATATTGGTCTAACCAGAAAGTTTTTACCTGACAAGCAGGTAAATATAAAGAATGGACAGGAGTACTCACATACATAAACATACAGTCCAGAAGTACCTGGAGGTAGTAAATCTTTTCCTTAGGAGAACAAGAAAGTTAATTATAATATTGATAAAAAGACACTTTTTTAATTAAAGTTTGAAGATTTTTCCAAGCAAGCAATTGTTTTCATCATGTATTTTATACAGCTTTTGTCTTAGAATGGGTTTGTGTGAACTGGCACAACACTACAATGCTCAAATTGAAAATCATATGGTAGAATACTTAGGTGTTTAAATGTTTTTGGAAAAAATATTTTTTTATCATGCAAACATTCTGTTTGTCTCAAGTTTGTTGGGTCCTTTTTGTTCAAGGAGCTGATATAACACTTGTATGCAATAGTATATACATATGTAGTATCATATCTGTAGCAGCTTGTTTTGTAACTGTATGAAGATGTAGATACAATCTTAACAGGAGTAATATCCTCAGTGACTTTTGGCATTAGTGCTGAACAAATGTTTTAGCAAATAGCTTATTTTAAAAAAAGGTAAGCTTCAGGTCCACTGTCTTTCAGTATGGGGTTGAGTAAGGGTTAAATTCAGAAAATGGTTTCTATTCTCATCTCTTTCCTCTTCTGAAAAGTGATGGGAAAAAAAGAAATAAAAATCAAAGTAAGCCTTTCAAAGTTAAGTGTTTCAGAATTTATACAAGCTTTCTTGAAATCATTAAGATCCCAGAATTTTTAGTTCATACACAAAATTGAAAAAAATCAATTATGCCACTTATTTAGGGTTTCTCACAAGTACAAAATTGTTCACATGAGGAAGATCTGCAGGAGCATGGTTTAATTATGATTGTTTGAGCTTGCAGCTTTTTTTATATTTGCAAATATCTAAATATCTTAATGATTAAACATTTATGAGTAAATCTCCTGTGAAAGTAAACCACCAGGCTATGGAAAGTATACTGTAGGTGGAGTTGTGCAAGCGTCCTTGTGGAGCTGTGCCAGTACATGGGAATCTGAATCTGAAAAGTCCTCTTTATTCAGATGCTGGACTCCTCAAGAGTAGGCTTTTGGAGTGGCAAACGAAAATGAGTTTTCAGAACTTACTCCTCTTTGAAAACAAAACTTGTTTCAAATCTAGTGTCTCACAGAGAAAATCCAGTGAGCTTAACTCTGTGTTGTCTGGCATCTCTATGTTTGAGAAACCATTCTCCAACGAAGCAGTAGCGTTTTTCACTGTCGTGTTCAACAATTTTCAGTTTTTTGTATCTTTTCTTTTTAAGATGTTTTCTTAAATATGCAGCTGAGGAGACCAAGAACAAGAAGATAAATCCATAGATGGATGATGAAAGGATTTTCCTGAGCTTAGTAGTTAACATAATAGTTTGCAAAGAAAAGAATTTACAAGTCCTTGTTCAAATGCGCTATGTAGAGAGTGAATAAAATAAACAGCAAGATGTGTTGTGATAGGAACTCAGATGATCAAAGGGAACTACTGAATAGTCATAGTTATTCTTTCAGATAAAATAAGGAAGTAATTCCTTTGAGACTTTTTTGTGATCATTTCTGTTGGAAAACTTTGTATGCATTACTCAGAAATTCAATGAAGAGAAAAGCAATACAGCCTAGATAATAGTGTCAGCTTTGAGCACGAGGTGGCATGTGGACATAGCTTGAGCTATTTCTCCAAATCATTTGAATGGAAATATTGGATTAGTTAACCTTGTGTCAGGTCTGTTAGTTAAATAAACCCTCCAACTGTTCCTGACTGAAGGATGCGTAGTTGTGACTGAAAGATGCTGCTGCTTTTCATTAGAATTTTGTCAAACATATCCTGCCAACATAATGATTTTAAAATAAAATGGTTTATTCGATGGAAAAGGATAACAAGCAGAAAATTCACAGCCTTTTCTTTTCACAGGGTGTTTCAGCCCAGTAGGAAATCCTCTTAGCCGAACACTATTGGGTAGACTACAGACGGTAAGGAATTGTATCTTTGCATTTTTTTTTAAATTGATGTTTAACTATAAAATGTCATTATTCACAAGTTCTCATTGTAGAGAGGTTTTTTTTTAATCCTGTCTTTATTCACAAAAGAGGTATCTTCAAGGAAGTTGTCTACATGGGCAAATAAGCTTTTGCTGCAGCCAGCTCGTAATGAGATTAGATATCCGCAAATTAAAAGCTTTATATGTTTTTCATTATTTACTTTTTGTTGTTTAGAAATAAATAAGCGAAAATCACAGTCCTGTGTTTTTTATTATTACTAAGAATATAGACATTGATAAATAAGGAGCGAAAGCTGGAACAGTAACTTGAATCCTCTTTGCAGCACCATGTTTTCATTGTTTACTCATACTTTACCTTTTTGTAACAAGTGAAATCACAGCTATCCTCATTTTATTTAATTCTTTATCTGTTAAATATTGATGGGAAACTTCTAGTAATTACATTTATTCTTTTCTTTATTTCTGGTTTCCTGATCACCATAGTATAAATCCAGCAGAATCTGTAAACGCCATTAATTCCAACTATAGACCTGATAAACCTGGATTAAGCACAAAATGTATGGAGAGACTAGTGACGGGAGAACAAGTGGTGCTTCTGAGTACTGAACGTATGTGTGGCTCTAGAAGGCTGGGCCTGTGGTATGGGAGATGTTAATCCTTCTGCACCTGTGGACAGAATGCCATGATTTAATATTCTGTATTACTTGCCTGCTAATTATAATTTTCAGAGAAATATTAGTGGTGGACATATATTAACTTCAATCATTTATAGCTGTTTTACAGTTTGGATTTGGGGTTCTGCTTTCGGTTGTTTTCAGGGTTTTTCGTACCTACTTTATTTAACACAGAATAATAGAGTTGTGGAAGGCTTGTAAGACTCACTTGGACTTGCCAAGAAATTTTGAAAGTACGGTTTTACATTGCAGTTTTGTTAGTGGCTAAGTGCTTCTTGGTTTTGCATTTTCAATTTTTTAGCCATCAATATGTAATTTTGAGGAAAACGTATGAATTGCTCAATCAGTATTTTAGTGTCCTCCATCACAGCAAGCTCTATAAACATTTACAGGATGAACTGTTTTGGAAAATGCTGAATAGCAGCTAATTTAAAATATTTTTTTCTGAGAGGGTTAAATTAAGATTTTGAATATTTTTGTTAATTTTTCTGTTATAAATGCAGTCATGTATATGTTATAAGTGCAGATGAACTGACTCATTTATATCAAAAAAGTAGCGTACTTACAAATGGCCAAATACGTCAAGAGGTTTTGAATAGATTCAGGAACAGGAGCATTTTACATGCTTCTGAATTGATCTTTTTTTTTCCTTTTTTTCCTTTTCTTTCTTTTTTTTTTTTTTCATCCCTGTAGGGTTTACTGTAGCAGCTGTGTTTGCACTTCTGTTTTCTGTTTGTATATTGCAGGTTTCAATAAAGTGTAGCCTCGCACAGTTTTGGGTTTTTTCCTCTAGGCAGATTATGGATTGTCATGCTCATTAAATATTGAAGAGCTGTAATCAAATAAGAATTGTAGTCATCTGAAGCCTAAGGAGGTAACTTTACAGTGTCTACGGACAGATTAATTAAGACCAAAGAAGAGTACATTATTCTTAGCAATTAATACTTTTAGAATAATTTTAATTTAGCTATTAATACTGTCCTTGCACTTCTGTTTCCTTAGACTGAATTTGTGCAGTTAGGTACCCTGAGCTAGAAGTGTGTTAACAATTAATTGGACCAGAGAACAAGAACAGAAACACGACAGTGCTAACAATATTCAATTATTTTATGCTGAGTCTCAGCTTATTTAGCATTTCATTTAAAACTTCAATTACTGGGGTAAAGAGATTGCATGACATTCTTAGAGAAGGAGAGGATTAAGTAAATTTCTAACCCTCGGGTTTATAAAGAAAAATGAGAACAATGGAGCAACTGTAAAAGCTCAGACTGATTCTGTAGAATTTTAAAATGTTTTAAATAATATCTCACTTTTAAGCCAGTCATGGGGTTTTTGAGCACTATATGTTCGTTTCTTATTCTTTACCTTAAAAAAAAAAATCACAAACAAACCAAAAAGCAAAAAAACAAAAACAACCACTGAAGTCAAAAGGTGACAGTCTCAGAACCTAGGCTGAGGCACAGATTTACTGAACAGGCAAGAGCAGCTTTAACTCTCGTTCCCACTGTCTTCCCTGGAGTGTCTGCACAAGTAACACTCCCAGTGTCTCTTCCATTCTGGCAGATGGCAGGTATAGGGAGGTGGAGCATGGAGAAGCAGTGGCACTGTGCAGCATCTGAGAAATAGACGTTTGTCCTTCTTCACGTTGCTGAGTCCTCCACTCTAGCGGGAAAAGGAGGGAGGGTGGCCTTGGCCCTGTGTGCACACGCATTCAGGTTCACCCTGGTACATGTAGTGCCTGCCTAAGATTAATCTTAGAAAAGCTTATTTTCCAAGTGCAGTTAGTAAGACTTAATGACTAATTAGAAGTGGGACTTTATGTTTATTCTGTTACAATGAAGGATTTGTTTACATGTAAGGAAGAAGCATGTGAAACCACGACCAGACTTTAAATGTTTTCCATATTTTTTCCTTAAAACATTGATATTGTGGTATTTGAAAGATGTTTGTTCAGTAGTAGAAATAGAATACTGAAATTTTTACAGAAAAGACAGTAATAACATATCCCTTGTTCTTACCTGCTGCTGCTGCTTCTCCTAAGGGAATGAATACTATCAAATGCCCAAATCCTGTTAGCTACTATATATCTGCAAAAAAGCAAAACCTCCATTACCACAATCACAGAAGCTGCCCAATTAAGAAACAGACATAAACATTTTAATTTGTGCCATTATCAGGAATCGGTGACACTTCATACAGCAACTTATTTATCAGTTCACTCTTACCTGCAGTGCTCTTTTTTGTATGAGCGTCTTACAATATTTTTTAATTTGGTTTGGTGTTGGAAGTGTCAAAGCTATCTGAGTGGGTTAGTCGTAGATAACCAGCATGATAGTCTGTGGTTAAGAAGTCTGCATCAACTGCTGGATCTATTTGTCTTCTTCTGAGGATGTTCCGAAGAGCTCCTAACAGCTTTGTTCAACCAAAATCAGGGTGGCACGGCGGGCTTTTTCAGCAAGCATTTTCTTCCTGTTTCTCACAGATGGTCTGCCTCCCAAAAAGACAAACTCCTCAGAACAGAACTATAGGCCCGTGTCTGCTCCAGTACAAGAAAAATACTAACTAGTTTCCATCTTGCATTAAAAAAGGAGATGTTAATACTCTATTAAGGACGATGTATTTGTATGCTTCGGTATGTCAGTTGCTTTGTTGGAAGCCTGAAAACGTGGCTTAATCTTGTGACACAACATTAAAAAATGATGTTTCTAAGCTGAAAGGCCAGTGGTTTTTGGTGGGTGTTGCTTGCAGCGTGTTGGGCCCAGCGGGGGGCTTGGCGGGGCAGGCCGGAGGCAGCCCCGCTGCCCTGCAGTACCGCGCCAGGGCTCGGCAGCCCTGACAGCTCCCCTGTCCGGCCGGAGGCCCATGGCGTACCCGGCTGACGTTTTAAGAGGAAACTTTTTGGATTGTTGTTGCCTTAAAAGTTTAACGCAGTGTCTGAGAACATTCAGCATAGTCTCAGGATGACTCATGGATTTTAGCTTGTTATTTCCAAACAGCTCGCGCTCTTCAGGCTCTTCTTACATGGAGTGTTTGAGAGCGCACAAATACTTTATAAAGAGAGAGAGACAGATTGAGACACAATAATGGGGCAATATGAGTACCTGAACTAGATACCTAAATAACACTGCTAATAATTCTGATGAATCATTTTTGAGCAACAGGAGGCACTCCCATCCCACAGGCTAAGCACATTGCCTTGCACAGTTCTCTTAACCTTGAGAATGGAAAATGAGAATTAGCTGAAACCTGTAAGGCAGTGCAAACTACTAGTAGACCACTGAACAAGCCACGTACTCTGAACTGCAGCTCCACCGGTCTTTGTTCAAAATTTGTTTATCAAATCAGGCCGTTACACTTCCCCCCCTGCTGCGTATGTACATAATTATTCAGAACTCTTTAAGTGGTAGGCTTAGATGTTCTGGTAGATGATAAGAACCGAGTGCAACTATTTGCTTTTATACTCTGTTCATCTGTATGTACTGCGTATGTCTGTAAGTACTGTGAGAATACCAAAACAGTCTGGAGACTGGGTGGAACCTCTGTGCTCAGGGTAGTCTTATTTGTTTTCTATACGGGATAAGGCTAGCGAAGTTAGGAAAACAACGCTGAGGACAAGAATCTCTGTTCTAGAGAATGCCGTTTATTGTGCTGAGGATTGCAGTAATGATGTTCCTTGGATCAACCTAATTTAAAAAAAAAAAAAAGGCAGTACATTTTAGATGCATGTTTTGAAAAAGCAAGAGAAGAGAAAGAAGTTCATGCAAAAGACAGTTAAAAGAGGGACTGTAAAATATGAAAAAGGTGAAGTATGTTGGAACTAAATTTAAATTTTAAATAAAATTTAATTTGAAACAATTTTAAATTCTCAAATTTGAATGTTTATAATGTGGTACAATCTGTTATGGGTAGAAATGTTGTTTACTTCACAAAGGTCACATTTGATTCTTTTCTAAAATATTTTAATTGCTGTGTAATATTTCTATTCTGTATTATAGTTTGTATCCTTTGACACACACAAAATCTAGGGGAAAATGGTTTATCCTATGTGAAAATAGGCCATTGAAAAAAATTAAGTAATACCAGCAAAGCACTTCCATCTCTTCCTTTGTTTTAACTTGTTGTTCCTCTGCTAATTTTCATAATTTTTCTGTTTTAAATCTTTTTTCAACTGAAGAATTCTGTTGTTTGACAGAAATTAAATTTTGTAGGTACAGGCACATCCTAATTATTGTGTTATATGTGCTATTCTTTTGACTTCATTGGAAGTCTGAAGAGTAAGTGGTAAAGATAGAACAATTAGAATTCAACGGAATGTATTGGTTATTAAGACCAACCTGAATTTCTCCATTATATGAAAGTGACATCTTTTGCATACTGGTTCAGAGGTAAAGTTCACTGCAACAACTTCATGAACATCTACTCTAGTATTTGCAATGCAAACAAGCTTAGACTGCATAGTCATCAATCCTCTGTCTTACCCCATTTTGTCTGTAGTGTAGTGCACATACTTGAAAAACTTAATATCTTTTTCTAAATATCTACATAGCCAATATTACTCAGTGTTGCACAACATCACTTCTGCTTCTTCTTTTTAAGAAAAAAAAGTTTTATTACAGATAATTCTTATTGGTTTACAGTGGACATGAAAATACTCAAAAATACAGGTTATCAAAATATTTCATATTAAAGATTAAAAATAATTTTCTCTTCTAGAATGATAACTGCCTGACAGCACTGGGGATGAGAGGAGGAAGCAGTTGTCCACTCAGGCAAGAGACAGTAAGTATTATGTAATTTTTTACATAAATAAGTATCTTCTATACCTGTTACACTGTATCTATGCTTTTGAAAGGACATTCTTCTTCTTTTTTTTTTTTTTTTTTTTAGCATGGTCTCAAGGATTTTTATTGCTACCCTAGATTTTGTAATTCTTACAAACATGTTCATAACCAGCATAACCACGTTACTGCTGTTTTATGTCACTCTTGAAAAATAATTTTGTAAAATTTTGATGAATATAGATTTTTTTTTTTTTTTTTTTCTTTTCTTGAACTCAGACCCAGACAGAACTTAACACATTTCTGAATGTTAAAACAGAAGAAATTCTGTTTCTTTGGGCAGTCTTCTTTGGTGCTGAGGTGTATTTCCTATATCCACTTATGGTCATTTTCTCATCATATGTCTCCAGAGAATATAATGGCAATTTCCACATTTCATTTAAATTGTTAGGCTTGCTAAACCAGTTGTATTACAGGACACATTGGTATTTTAATTTTTTTTTGTTTCTGGGAGACGGTGGGACTTGCTTGATTGGTCTGAACTGTTTGTTGGCAGTGTTGCCATGTTACTGAATTTTTGTAATTTTTTAAAAAACCCAAAACATTTGCACCAGAACTATCTTACAAAAGACACTGCAAGAAGAAGTATTTCTTGCTATGCCTTTCATTGGTTTTCATGCTGCCAAATGATTAGTATTGTATTCCCCCCCCCCCCTTTTTTTTTTTTTTTCTTCATTATTTTCACAGTACTAATGCTAAGGAAACCGTTGTCCCTTAACTGGACACCGTGTTAGAGCACCCCTTACAGGACTTGAGCGTGTGAGCTTCCTGTTCTGTATGGTTTCTCTGTGGTGCTCATTAGTGTGTTTTATTTTGATTCTATTCTATAGTTCATATTTCTATATTGTCAACATCACCTGTGATTTACTGTATTAGCTTTCCTAATGCAGGGAGGAGAGTTATAATAAAGGATATTTCATTGTTTAGCTTCTTTATGTAAGTTCAGGGTTACTAAATGCCTATTTAGATAAATTTCCCATCTACTGAGAAATATGCTGATACTAATTCTTTGATGCTCCCCAGCTCACAAATTACCACATAGGATTTACAGTCGTTTCCATCATTTCCCATTCATAACTAATTTAATCTGTTTAGTTGTTGACATGAAATTATGAAAATATAGGTGACATTGGCTATATATATATGTACACACACATAACTCACAGGTGATCTTACTCAAAATAGAAATACAAACATAAAAAGCACTGTGCGGATCAGCAGTCTTAGGATTTAAATGCATGTGTGTGTAATAAAAAAAGGAAGATTTTTCTCCAAGTCTCTATCTTCATAACAACTTTGCTGTCTCCTGCAATCCCCTATAACCTCCTGTCACTCCTAATGATCCCTGTTTCTGACCTCTTTACTTAAAATTTCATAGAGGAATATGACATGAAGATTATATGTAGGGAAGCAGTATTGTTTGTGTAAAATAGGTCATAATTTTGCTCTTCACTTAGCCTGAGGGAAGTGAGCAGTTTTTTTACTATTTCAGTTCACTTCGGTTTTTTTCAGTCTTTTCTGCTCTGAATTCATCAGGACAATTTTTGTTCATAGGGCGTAGGAAATAAATAAGTTGTACTTGATATTTTCATATTCAGGGTAGAAAGCAGGCTTCTGGTAATGTATTCTGTGTAATTTGCATGGTGCTGACCACCATTAGTATTTTTTTCCAGATAAGTATAGATGCACTGTATTTGGCTAATGGATTTATTATGTTAAATAGAATAAAAAGGTATTTTGACAGATATTTATAAACACACAAACAAAAGCAGAGTGATCAAAGCAAAACTTTGCAATGATATTTTTGTACTAAATTTTTCCTTCGGTAAAACTGTCATGCTGTTGAAGTATTTATTCAAACACATATGCTTCATGGGCACACACAGAATGGGATCTGAAGGTGGTGTAACAATTCTGAGAAAGTGAGTGAATGAAGTGTTTTTTTTTTTCCTTTCGCTGCACAAGTAAATTGCTTATAAAACTAACAGCTGCTGTTTTGAAGCTAATCTTAGTGAATTGAATGTTCTTAACCATTTCTACAATCCCACAGTCCTTTATCTTGCCTCTCCTGCTGCTTTCCCACCACCCCTGATCCCATTAGCAAAACTTGAGACAGCCTCAGCTTTTACCAAAGTGCAGCTTTGGTTTCAGCTGCTTTTCTGCAAGAGGAAGTGAATGTTGCGCTTTTTTCTCTGTGGCATGGTTGTGATAAAGCTGTGGTGCTCTTATCTCTCTTTTAGGTAGTGGCTCTTTATGACTACACAGCGCATCGATCAGATGAGCTAACCATCCATCGCAGTGACATTATCCAAGTGTTATACAAAGATAATGATAACTGGTGGTTTGGCAGCCTAGCAAATGGACAGCAAGGCTATTTTCCAGCTAATTATGTGGCTGGTGAAAGTAAGTTTACTGCTGTCTTCCTGGTATACCGGTGTGGGTTTAACTGATGGTCCAAGATTTTACCATGCTTTACTGCTTATTGTTCTGAAGATACAAATTTATGTAGCACACAGATGGCATAATGGTGACTTATTGTGCTGCAGAAATTGTGCAAAGTTTGCTAACCACTTAGCAAGTTGACATGCCTGACTTAGGAAGGTATTGGACTTCGTTAAACATTCCAGCTTATATAGCACTGACTTAACTGTCAGTCACCTGGGTTGATTCCTTGTCTCTTCCTACATGTAGCCACATAGATTCATGCCCTACCTTAGCAATGTTTTAGGACACATCAAAGCATTTCACAGACATCTTAGGTTTTTCTTAGACGATCTCTGTTAGCTCTAACCAGTTGCTTTTGTAAAAACTCTCAATTTTCCTCCTACTCTAATGGAGAATACACAGTTCCCAAATGTGTGGATTTCAGTATGAAGATTTAAAAGAACAGTAATGCTTAAATCTCATATCTGAGCATTGAACTTGCTACCAGGTCCTTGCCTTTGAAGTAATACAGACAAACCTAAATAAACCTGAACAAATAATATAGGAAGCATCCTACTGAGTCAAGTGATGGAAGGATGCTCGGTCTCCTGACAGTTGTTAGTATTCAGCTTACCAACGTAGTGCGTGGTTGCATACTACAAGAAATTCATCTGCCTTCCTAAACTATCAAGCTATCAGTTATACTGGTGTTTAGAAATCTTTTAACCCAACATTTCTCAATATTTTTCCCCCATTTTCTAGTTCCTCCCTCTGTATTTCAAGTGAAGTCTAGTGTTTATGCCTCATTCCTAAAAAAAACTTGGACAGAACACTATGCTAGCTTGATGATGGTAATTAGTTAGCTTAACAACTGCCCTTCCCCTTTGTCCTCCCCATGCACATCCTGTGCATTTTCTCCTTCCTTTCTTCCTTGCAGAATAAGCCAGAGAGCAGTCTGTAGGAAGAGTCCTCAGTGGTGGGCTGTTGTTGTTTAAAAAAAAAAAAAGAAAAAGAAAATTTTTGAGGCAGTTGTCCAACTGTGCCATAAAACCCCTGGTGTATAGTTTGTTATTTCAGTTGGTGACCATCTTATTACTGAATCAAAAGAAATGCATATGGTACATATGTTAAGTATCAGCTGCATTGCTGTCAGTATGGACTCTGTTCTCAGTCATGTAAACGTTTGATTGTTTTTATTTTATATAATTGCCTATATAAATTACCTACATATAAATTACATTTAAATCTAAGCCTACAAATAGAAATAAAAGTTAATGGGCAAATTTTTATAGATTTTCATAGGAAGTTTGGCTTCAAACATTTTTCACCTGTTTCAGTTCACATTCCATTGTTGGCTAGATTGTAACGTTATGGTTCTTCACATTAAATAGATACTTTCATAATTCTTTCATGGCTCTTATAATGGTAAATTATGGATCCTGTTTTCAGAAGAATGTGAGGAACAGCCATCGGGATTACTACCAGATTGTGCTCCTCTCCTGCCTGAAGGACCAACAGAAGCAGAGGAATGTTCTCCAACACCACGTAAGGTAATAATTTGAGAAGGAAGGATGCTAAGTAGTGGTGGAGTATTTCTTTTGTGTGCCAGGAGGACTGTGTTAATTTTCAGTCCTTTTTGGAAAAAAATTCTTGCGTGTAGACCTCATTCCAGGCAAGCAGGTAGATTTTCAGCAGATGTCTAATGTTTGTCTCGTGGAACCAGCTGATCCATCATGTGGCAATTAAATATTCTGCCTACTTTTGCATCATTGTCATGAGTGGCAAATCTCCTACTGACTCCAAGGTTTACAGAAGTATCTCTCACAGCTATCTTATGTAAATAATGGTGGAAGAAACAACATGGATTTCTCAAAACCTGACGTACTTTTGGGCACTTGACTGTCATTCTTGGAAGATGCACTGCCCACAGATTCTTCAGATTTTCTTCCATGAAATTTCCGTATCTATCAGATTGTGTAGGAGAAAGTTGTGATGTTTTTCTCTCCACAGTTTTTCAGTCTGTGTAATAATATCCTAACTAAAGATATACAAGGTCTTGTTACCAGACCAGGAGATATGCTGCATCTAAATGTGCTTACTTTGTCGATGGATGTTTCTGTTTAAAAGCTGCAGGTGGTTCTCTGATGTAAATGACGGCAGCCATCCTGTAGGTTGCTCAGGAGGGTGGACTACAGAGACTTCATAGTTTGGAGGCACAAAGGAAAGAAAGGCTTTTGTCTTTGCTATATCTGCTACTCTCCACTTGCACCATATACTGGGTTGCAATTGCATATGGCAATGTACAGAAGAGCAAAGAAACAGCAGCCCATTTTTAGTCAAGGGAAAAAATAGGGATTTGATTTTTATTTTATTTTTTTCAGAGCTTTAGAGAAACTGCTATGTGAAAAGTAGGCCAAATGACTCTCACTTCTCCAGACAAACAGGGATTAGAAACTGCGTAACTTACGTTCCCCTTCTGTGAAGTAAGACTGATGATTGTCTTAAAACATGGGATACTTTGTACTTTGTAAGCAAAAACAGTATTAGAAATTTGTTCAATAACTGTTAGAATTGAAGAATTTTTTATTCCAATATGTTTGTATTCTGAAGTGTGCTTTGCACGGCTATTCATTTAGTCAAATAGTACTAGCATAACTACTTCAAAAGTGACTTTTGTTCAGATTTCTTTCAAATTGCTTGACTTTTCCATCTACTTATCTAAAATTGAATCTAGTGCTTTGTGTCTCATTTGCAAGCCTCAAAATGTATGCTGTTGCTTAGTTAAATTTTTTCTCTTTTCAGATGATTTATCTAATCTTTACATAATACATATTGCAATGTTCAAGGTTAAAACACTCAAAGCTGCTTCTATGAACCTTTTTTGTGTAGATTTTGTTTTTAATAGGTGAATAGAGAGAGGTAGTATCTAATAATTATTGAGTACAGATTACTCACTCGGCAGCCTAGTTGAAGCCAACTCCTATAAATTGAATTACTAAGTGTTTTGTTTCTAACTATACTTGAAATATGGAATTAATCACTACGCTGAGTAGTAATAATCTGAAGTATCTTTTACCTCTTTGTAGCTGAGAAACTCGTAGCTAAACCATTGTCCAAGTGAACTGGATGCATTCTTTTTTTCTTTTTTTTTTTCTTTCGCCTGCTGCTGTTAAACAAGATCAGGGAACATTAACCTGGGGTGGAACATATCTAATACGGGTAGAAGGAAATTTTTGGTTGTGCCATGCTTAGTTAACCTGGGGAACCTAGCTACTACAAGACACTATTAAACGTATGCGCTTGGGGATTAATTTTTTTTAATAACACGTTTTAGGCTGAGGTAATGTCTGAGATTCCAAAAACGTCTAAATGACTGGGAAACATACATCTGGTTGATTTTTTTAATTTTTTTTTCATTTCAAGTTACATAAGGACAGTATAAATCACCAAGAAAACAGTGAGTTGAATCAAATGATGAATCAAATCTCTGTGTAAGAGTTGCACGTTGAATTATGACATTACACTTGAAGTGTAATGGTTTTACAAAAGCTACAGAGTGCTGCATAGAAGAAACAAGGTATGTTTCAGCTGATTGTCATAATGAAGGAAAGTTCTGCAGTGCTTTGGCTTTAGGCAATACCAGATGCTTCTAAGAGAAAACTGCTTAAGACCACCACTGAGGGGGCTGGTCGGTTATGGCAGTTCCTGTGTTGCAGCAGTGACACAGCAACTTTTCTTCCTATTCCTTTCATGTTTTTTTCGGTATAAAAGCTGATGAAATGAAATGCCAATTTCTTTTACATGGGAAATAAGAAAAATCATTATTTTGTAATATCCTGTGGTGGGTGGTTGTTTTTTTTTCTTTGCAGAAAATGAAGCTTTTTTTGGAATGTTTATCAAATAATTAAGTTGTTGCCTAAGTTGTTACCACAAGCAGGAAAATATAACTGAATTTTTTGGTTATGTTTGGGTTTTGGCTACAAGCATGTTTTCCCAAATACTTAGTTATATCCAGGTCTACTATGTCTATTGTTCTTTCTGTTGGTTGTTGTTGGTTTTTGTTTTTTTTTCCTGAGGAATACTTAAATATTTAGCTCTGTTAAGACTGCAAAACACAGTTGCTACGAAAATCGTCATAGCAGTTACTTGTGAGATTTTGCTACCTACGAGACTAAACAGGGCACTTAAAACGTAGAATACTACTATGGTTTTAATCACTGAGAATATCAGATAGTCTAATTAAAAATAGTTTTCCAACTGCAGGTATTATACATGCATATCTAGCTAATCATCAGGATTTTATGATGAGTGAATAAAATGGAATCATTAATGTTAGAAGAAGGTGTAATAACTCAAGATCCAATATTAATCTTTGCAAATAATAAAAAAACCTTGTAGTTCAAAGAACCTGCTTTCAAAATGCTTGCTACCATCAGCTTTGCATTCATAACATAATAATTTTATGCAAACCTTGTTTTCCTGCCTTATGAGTTACTTAACTCCTGAGCCACAAAATTAGGTCATAATCATCTTTAATTACAACATACATCTAAACTGCCAATAGAAATTTCATGGAGTGAAGTTCTCACTGCATTGGTGAAGAATCCCAAGAAATAGACGGACCTGTCATCTGGCTGCTGCAGTAAATGTGGTGTTTTCAGGTTCCTTAAGATGAACGCAGAAAAGTCAGAAATCCAGATAGGGTTCTATTAGAAAACAGAATTTGGATTTTGAAAAATTTTGGCAAATCAGAGACATTTCAAAGTCAATAGAGTGTCTTTTTTGGGGCCACAAATGTTCTGCTGTCTATAAAATCTTGTGAATATGTTTTATAATCTATGATGGCCTACCACTCACTACATAAAATGCATCTAATTGGATTCTGAATGTTAAGTACTCAGTTCTACATTATGCAAGAATAGTGGGAAGTATTCATATACAAAAACAAAACAGTAATTTAAAATTTCCATTAAAAATGTAAGAAAATATTCTTTCTAGTATATTTATCTTTGAAAAAAATTATGTTAAGATGTAAAATTATGGTCACAAGCATGAAAAGAAAAGGATTACCTTCAAGAACTATATTATTATTGCACAATTTGGATAATCTACCCAGAGATCATCAAAACTTGATTCCATGTATATTTAAACAAAGTTTGAGATCATCACTGTTCACATAAATAATTCATGTTCTCACTCTTCCTCCCCTAGAGTAGGTGGTTGTCAGACTTTCTGAATGCTTAGCCTAGCGTGTCTGAAACTAACCTGCCAAGCAATTGATGCTTTTGCCCTGGGCTTGAGCTCTTTCGATGTGGGTGGTTTTGTGGGCTCAAAATTTATTTATTAGAGATAAAAATTTAAAAAGCATAGAAAACTTGCTCAAAAATATTTCCAAAAATACTAGCTGGACATTTTTCTATTAGTTTAATCAAATATTTTCATTTTATAGTTTGTGCTGTTTCTATTTTCTCCTTTCGTGGTGCCTTTCTTCAGGTTACTGTGTTACTGGGGAACACTTCGGTGACTGACTATTACTTAGGAAGAGGAGGGACTAGACAGATGTGATAATGCTGATGAGGGAAACATTAAAGATTTAATACAATGAACTGAATAGAACTGAAGACTTCCAACATGTCATGAAATGTGTCCATTTTCAAGGTTCAGAGAGGCTGCAGACCCAAAAAAATGTGATACTCAGTTGAATTAGAATGTGTTTGTAGTGAAGTTTATAATTCTGGTCTTCATTCGTGCCTACCATGATTACAGATCTCCCTTTCCAAAGGCATTGACATCAGGGCTGAAAGAAACCGTGCTTTGCTAGAATCAGTCTGCAAAGCTGCTGTGTGGTCTTCCACTTAAACAGTTGAATAGGCATTATAAAACAGGTACATTTTTGCAAATCCTACTTTTGAAATAGTAATTACTTTGATTATTCTTGAAGAAATCGTTCTTCTGAAGGAAATGTTACTGTGGTACCATCTACAAGGAACAGACCATTTTCCTTAAACGTTACCTGACGTTAATATATTTCAGCTTTTTAGTTCCGTAGTTTCCTATTTTGAGGTATTCTTTTTTCCCTTTAGAATGCACTTCGTACTGTTCAAGTTGAATTACTCTGTCTTAAGCATGTGGGGTGCTACTTTATTTATAAGCTGATAGCTCTTTTCGTTTTCAACTCCAAAACCACCTCTGTGTTTTTTAACACCTTTTGTCTCAGAAAATGTTTACGTCTGTGTCTATAGTATTAAGTCCTTGGAAGAAAAGGAAGAAAAGATACCTGCTGTACAAGCAGATTAATATCTTTTGGGAAAAAAAAGAAAAGATTAAATGACATCCTTAGTCATTTGCTATAAGTGACTGAAGAATCAGGCTGAGCCACTGAACTAGTCAAGCAGAACCAAAAATGCTATTGAGGCACACTTATTAAGATAGCTCTCAGGAGCAAGCTATCTTCACTCTTCCCCGTGGTTTTCTCCTTGGGTCCTCACAGCTTCTTTCTGAACAGGGTGGAACTATTTTTATGCAAATTTTAATGCAAAGTTGTAACCACAGATAAATTCCCAGAGGCCAAGGCTTCAAGATTGAACACAGCTGTTCTAAACCATAGGGCTTTAGTCTGAAGTGTCTTGTCTCCACTCTTTCTCCTCTTTTTGTTGTCCCTCAAATAGTTGTCTAGTTGGTCTGATTTCTGAGACACAGTATTTGTCACTGTTGAGCCGTGACTACAGTTTTCACCCACCAGATTTCCTGCTGGTCTCTTCTAGCCCTGAACAGGCCCAGGATTTTGCCATTTCGAAGACTAGACAAGGCAAAGTCCTCTCTGCCTGTGACTCTGGCATTCATAGGTGGAGAAGCTAGTAAGCGTTGGCTTGGTCCTAAACACCTTCAGTGGTTTAGCTGGTTTTTATGGGAAAGATAGAAATTGATGCCGATGGCTCTGTTGTATACAGAGCCACGGTTCTGCTAGATACTCACAACTAAGTTAATGCTGTTAGACATAAGGGTTGGGTTAATCTGGTTTAGATAGGCTTATTCTTTAAAAACATTAGAGAGGGAAAAAAGCAATTATAAGTTAATTGCACTTCACATAGGAAGGTCACAGCAAAAGAATTATATGTAATTCCACTAGCAAAGTTCCCTGCCAGTTGTTCATTTAATGGGGAAATGTCTGGAGGGGTACAGAGTAGCAGGAAGGAAAATGATGAGTGTGGTGTGGTGTCACAGCATTTCTCCCAAGCTTGCCTGATTAGAACAGTTTTGACAGGAGACATCAACATGTTTCTGGGGAGTTAAGTACATTGCTATAAATCTTTTATCCGTGGACTGTATAATAGAAAACAAAATACAAACTTAGTATTGAGTTAAACATCTTAAAGACTAGTCTGAATAGACACAGAGACATGTTCGTTCTTGCCATCTGTGATCCAATGAATCTTTAATTAGATCAAGTTCTGTAGAAATAGCTTCTGTGGGAGAGTTTTATTGGTTTTTGAGATTTTTATTTTTATGATAGTGAACAGAGCAAAAGAAACTTCAGAAAATCTAAGCTTCTGCAGTTGATATGAACTGATGTTCTCCCCTGCTTCTGGTGGGCTATATCTTTCAAAGGTTGGAGAATTAGAATATGGCAGCAAAACTGAACACCATTAGTGGCACACTGTACAAGGGAGATCATGTTTTGTACTATGTTCAGTATTTTTTATTGTGAACAGAAAAGTTCAAGGTATTCATAATTACCCGAAACGTGGTTGTTTTTTTTTGTCTTTAAAGCAAACACAGCCCTAATAATTCTGTATCAATATTTAAGCTCTGCAGTCTGGATGAATTTAATAGCGAACACCCTATCTGTTACAACACTTGGTTTGCTGAATCTTAGAACAGACACAGTGTCAATAGTGCAGAGCTGTTTGGAGCTTCCTGTGAGATCTGCCCATGCATAACAAGTGGTCGAGAGGTTTAGAAATGGGGAAAGAAGAGATCAACAGCCTCTGCAGCCCCTCCATAGCCTAGATTTCTGTGGCTTGCTCTTCACATTAGCGTGTCCTTGATATATTCTCGGTGTCTAAGCACTACCACTACCTCCTTAGCCAAACACCTCCTGCCTATTTTCCCAGCCTCCACTCGCTCACTGTGCTCCTCCTGCCACTCCATCTCCTTGTTGCACCAGCTCCTGCACTGCCTTCTTGCATCTGCTGCTGACCCCACTTAGTCCTTCAGTACTGCTACTGCTTACTCACATCACTGGGATGGGAAAAGTAGTTCAAGGAGTGGGCTAACAGGCACACAAAGGTATGTGGAATAGGCAAGAGAAGGTAGTGGCAGTGAGATCTGCTTCAGAAAGATCTGGTATCTAGTTCCTGCCTTATTACATGCTTGAAAGTTTGTAGGAATGAGGCAAGAAAGCTATCGTACTCGAGCAGTGCTCTGAAGAACTGAGTGTCTGTCCCTTCAGATCCAAGAAATTCTCATTAGTTGCCATGTCAGGTGAACACAGCTATTCAAACATCTCTGTGTGCTTTTCTTTCCTTCTGGCTCATGGTGAATGCTGTGCTTGAATATATGAAAGCCTATGTGATGAGTTCATTTTAAAACAGATCATAAGAGCCTTCAGTTAGGCAGCTTAATTTAGTGGATACTTTAATCTTTCAAGTGTAAAGGATAATTTTCTGTGTTTTGGCATCTGAAAGTATTAAAAAACTTAGTCTGTTTTTGAAAAGATAAGTCAGTCTTCTGTAGTGGCACTTAAGGGAATTATACTAGACTGTTCTTTGGAAAGGTCCATATTTTATTATGGTATTAGTACAATGTAGAGATCCTGTAATATTTAGTCAAAAAGGAGGGTAAAAACACTAGTTCAATATCACTCACAGAAAAGTTTCAGAAAAAGATTCTATTTTGACTGCAGGTGAAGTGAATTTCATGAGTGTGCATGGCAAGGAGCCACAAGGTTATAAATGCTGAAGGAAGTATTAATTACTTAGTCATTCCTTTACAGCACTCCCTTGTATTTTCATATCAGCAGGATTTTATTTCCTTCTTTTGTGTTTACTTTTACCATTGACTTGGTCGCAAGTTTATTACTGTATTAACAGGGATTTTGTGTGTGAAATAGAAGATTTTTCTTCCTAGCCCCACCACAATACTACATTATTGTATTCTAATAGTCTGACTTTTGTCTAAACTAATCCAGCAATCCGTGTTTTTTCAGCAGACTAATTCTAATGACTAATGTTTGAACATGGGTGTTACGGGCAGTGTGCTTACATGAATTCAGTCAGTCAATGGGAGTTTGATCCTGTTTCTTCTAAGTCAGCAGAAAAACAATATTGAACTAATAAAATAATACTAGGGAGCAGGACCAAGACAAAAAAAAAGTTCAGATTTCATTCAACTACTAACGTTGACTAGATGTCTTTTAATTAATTCCATCTGGATTTTAAAAAAGTAATTAAACTGTTCAAGGCCTAAAACTGAGGTTTGGGAGATACGGGTTCTGGTTCCAATATGGTGTTCATTTCCGTGTGCCAAGACAATTGTCGTCTGTGCCTCACTTTACCCCAAATTGAAAAGGGACAATAGGACTTGACAGGGGAATGATAAGTTTTATTCATTAGGGCTTTGAAATCTGTGGTGGATAAGTTTAGTGTCTGAAAACAAAGTATTTTTGTTCCATTTTAAAATACCAAAACTAATGCTTAAGTGATAAAAAGAACTGCCATGAAGCAACCCTCTGTTTTCCCTCTGTTTAAAGTTAAATACGGAGGGACCATGGTACACCATGCCTGTGCGGTCACACAAAATGAAAGCAACAATTGGCAGGCTAGAGGATCAAGAACTATGATTTTTTTTTTTCTTTTCTGTTGCTTCCAGAAAGCTCTTGTTGACTTTGTGGTTACTTTTTTAGGTGCTGTATTGTTGTTGGGCACTCCAGAGCTGCTGAATGATACTCCGTTCCTAATACTGCTCGTTTTTAACTGGGGTGTTAGAGACAGTAATGTCAGTAGCTGGCTGATTCGTGGAGCAATTAGCAGAACATTAAACAAGCTATTTACAAGCAGATGAATACCTCTGTGCTTGGCAGAACTGGTGGTCTGATCTTTTTAACACTAAGGCTATTTAGGAAATTCAGAAACAATGTAGTAGGTTTGCTTTAGGCTGACCATGAATCCAAAATTCAGCTAGCAGTCTTAAAAAATCACAAACATCGTCCACGTTTTGAGGGCTGAGTTAGTTTCAAGCCCATGCTTCTCCTTTACTCCCTGGCCCATGCTTCTCCTTTACTCCCTGAAAAAATATTTTTAGAAAGCGCTAGGTCTAGTCTCTCCCTTCCTTCTCTGGCCTAGGGCTCCAGACTTTTTCTCCAGTTTTCCGATGTCTTCATAGGAACCAGTCCCCACTCTCACAATAGAACTTGTTCTTTCACACGCGCCATACCAAGCGGGCACTTACAGAATGTAGCTGTCCTGTCGGCCTGAAGCAGAGGTCCACAGCAGTTTTTCACTGGCAACGTTGTGATACTAGGTCTGAACCTACCATGTGCTGCACTGCTTTCCACAGTTTTTCCCCTTGGTTGTGGTGCTCTGGAGGCTTGAAGCTCATGGCTGGTTGTGTAGTGTGTGCCTGGCTCCAGAAGAGCAAATTTTGAGTGAGACGTAAGGCCTGTCAGTTGTGTCAGATTCTGCCCCCCATGAAAATTAAAGTACGTGGGTAGTTACCAGATACTTGTGAACAGCCTGGGTGGAAGAAGGAAGGGCACTCACAGTTCCTTATGGGAATTCTTGCAGTAAGTATGAGACCTGTTAGAAGTAGGAGAGGTTTGTTTATAACGGGAGTGAGTTGCGTAGAGACCCACTAATTACTTTTGGAAATCGGTGAATTTACTTAAGCTCTTCCAGGTTTGGGGTTTTTTTAGCCCTGAATTATTAAGTAACCTGGAGTGATTTGAACTGCTTTTCACTGAAACTTGCAGGCTTAATAAATAGACAGGTTTCTCTTGTTCAAACTATGGAATAAGATGGCTTTTTAGCATTCTGTCTTTATTCATGTAGTAGCAGAAATAACTTACTTCTTTACAGACCGCGTGTATTTTAAGCTGACTTCAAGCAGATTCATAACCTTCTGTTTCTACATGTACCTGAAAACTGTCTTTTATTTGCAAGCAGCTTTTTAAATTTTTTTTTTTTTTTAAAGCACGGTACTGTTTCCTTGTTTGTAACCACATAGGAGTTAACATTTTATGGCTGATAGACATTCTTTTTCAAACGAGGTATATTCTCTCCTTATTCAGGAAGCTGGTGGGTTTTCTATGTACGTGTGTTGGCCCCATTGTCTGTTGTCTTTTTTCTTTCTAGCTGGTTGTTTTTTTTTCTTTTACAGATGTCACCGGTCATCAGTAAGTCAGGGGACGTAAAACTTAGCTCGGAACGTGACACAGATAGAGACTCACCTGCAACACAGTAAGCAAGAAATACTTAAAACAATTTACAGTGTTACTTCTACAGCTGCTGTTCGAAAACTGAGAAATGTTGGAAGGGTTGTGTTGTTGTAGCAAGCAAAACAAGGTTAGCTTTAGGATAATAATTCAATAAGTGCTTCAAACCCACAACATGAAGGAACTAACAGTTTACCTATATGTACACGTGTGCATACACACGCTGTCTCCCCTAAAAGAGCAGGGACTATAATGGGTATGAGAATCAAAACTCAGGGGCACGGGATTGACCTGTGGCATCCCTTAGCTATGGATTAGGCTTTATTGCTACAAACTGCAAACTATTTTCACCTTCTAAAATTAATTAACGTAAATTTCAAAAGATTGTCACATACTGAGAAGATACAAGCTAGCGTCTTTGTCACGCTTGCATTTTTTAAAAGTTGTATGTATTCATTGCATGAAAGCTGTAAGTGGATAAGATCTCAACATTTTGAACAAGAGCTTCCACAATATCTTTAGCTATTGCAACCATTTATACATCAAAAAATACATCTGAAAATATTTCCTGTGTTTGCCATTACAGGTATCTGTCATCTAAGCAAAGTTACTTCACTGATCGTTTTCCAGACTGGTCCCCTCCCCATACAAATAATCTGTACATATACGGTGCAGATGCAGATACATACCTAATTTTGACATCTTGAAATCTTAGTTTTCTATCTCCAGCTGTATCTAGATTTTAAAATAAATTGTGAGTGGAAAGTTTCACCCTCGTGTGTGGTGTGAGGAATGGGCTATATAACTACACATGGGCAGAACTCAGCATTGAATTTTAGGCATAACTATTCTGATCGGATGCGTGCTAAGGAAGGAAATGCCTGAAAAGCTCAGTTACTGTAACAGTTGATACAGTGTGTTGGAAGCCAGTATCAAAAATTTGGTATGACTCAACTCCATTAGTAAAACTTCAGGAAACAATTATTTTGAGTGACCTTTCCAGGGCATCCACTGAAGAATGTGGGACCGCAGATTTAAAATGTGGAATCCCAAACGATTTAATCAAATTCAAGAACGTTGGGTCATATCAAAGGTGAAATATTCATTGTGATGGAAACTAAGGCTGTCCTGAGAAGAGGTCGTGTTGAAGTGTCATGCTGAAGAAACAGAGCCCCAAAACCACTTCAGTTACATTTCAAAAAGGTGAGAGGAGACAACTCCATGCCTGAGTCACTGGAATGCGCTCCCTCCTCCTGAACATCATGGAGATGCCGATCTGAAGTCATGCTTCATGTCATTGTGGTCCCATCTTGGCAAAGAGCCTCATTCACAAGCTTTCAGGGTGTACTGAGCCATTTATACCGGATCATTAGTGAGGGAGGGTGAAAGATGCCATGGGGTAGTGTTTGATACTACACACCTTGTCAGGGGAGAGCTAATTTGAAAGGGAGGAAGATAAACATGTCAGTCCTACACAGTGCTGTATTTTCCTTCCATGTGCAGGATGTTCTAGGCTTTATTATGTTTTTGCTGCATTTTTCCCCCGTGATTGTGTTTTGTTGAACGTGGAGAGGGTAGTTTTCACTGAATGTTTTAAAATCAGAATGCAAATCTGAGTAATGTCTATTCCTGATCTAAAGCTTGAATCTGAAATTATGTACTTTGCAGTCTCTTCCATGAACTAGAACATAATCAAATGCGATCCACTTACCTTTGTAATGTTAGCAGTGACTGTACGTACCATGTTTTTTCAGAAAAGACTGCAAGTTTTTGCCTTATTTTGAGGGCTGGAAGAAGGATCTTCTGGCATTTCTGATGCCACTAGTTTGAAAGACGGTTCCATATTTGTTTGTAGGCTATCTATATAGTACAGATTAGATAATACAACATCTCAGAAAGAAGGCTGCATATTTTTCATGAACATGCTCACTTTGTACCTGAAACTGTGACCCACAGGGGCTGTGACAGAACTGTAGTTTTCTTGTTCACTGCAGTTCATGTGTCTTCCAATATCCTTAAAAAATGATACACATACAAGTGTTGTGCTCTTAACTGGAAAAGTTTTCTATTTTAACATCTAAAAGCAATACCAACATGACTTCAGATCCAGCCTAATCTGTACTTAAATAGTTGCTCCACCTAGAACATTGTTATCTTCCTGTTTTCTGTGAAGATACACATAATATCTATGTCACTTGCTAGTATATGATAGGAATTATGCAGTAAATAAACTTTGTAACAATCAAGTGAGATGTGATTGCCAAGTACGCACTTTTACTGTGGAGAAGTGAAACTGTTAGCATCTGCACGACTTGCTATACCTTTCTTTGAGCTTCCGAATGAATGATTGCTGTTCTGCCAATTAGAGCAGTATTCATTATGACCACAATACCAGCTGTAAAAGAATGGCAAGCGTTTACGACATGTCTATCTTTCAGAATTTCTGGACAAAAAATGTGGTTTTGCAATGGGAAAACAAATTTTATCCAAGATGGTAGTAGATTTTTATCTTAGCCAAGCAGTTAACCTGTCTTCTGCAGACTCTAGAAGAAATAGAGAAATGTCCACGTGATAGATGCTAGGTGAGCTAAGGTTTTTACCTAAGTATGTCAAAGATTTGATACATCATCACATCTGATGTTCGAATAATAGAAAGATGAAAGCTACTTCTCAACATTTTAGTAGCTTTATACTGAAAATCTGCATAGTAACCTCACCCTTTGAATATTAATGATTAGGTACTATCTGTCAGGTCAGACATTATCTCCCTACATATATTCACATTGTACAGTTTTGTTCAGCTACACTAGGTAGTGCTCTCTGCATAAATTTACAAGTGATTATACGTGAGACCCAGCTGAACACTCAGTTTGGTAGACTGGTACTTACATTACTGATTAAATATGATTTTGTACCCTGATTTCCTCAGGCAGCGGTACTTACTGTTCCAGGAATCCTAACAGAGGGTCTTAAACTCCAGAACCTTTTCCTTAGGATGTTCCAATATTAGAGCTTCAGCAATTCATGTGTTCATGAATACAACATTTAGCTTAAAAAACATTCCAACTGTAGGCAGACAGTCATCAGTGCAGTAGCAAGGCTGATGTGTAAACATTTTCATCTGTACAATATGATTACATTAGGACAGTATCGCCAACAGTAATGCTCTTGCAGTTGGGGAAAACTGCACACAGCTCACTACATTCTTTAGTCTTGATTCATCCACTCACTTATGTGTTTCAGGAGCATTCAGCATAACAGTTCTGGTCAGAAACCAAGACCTCTTTGTGCTGAGCACAATATAAATTTTGAACAAAGAGAGTACCTGCCCTTGAAAGGTTACAGTCGAAGTATTGTTATAGAATTATAATTAAATAAAGTTACAACTTCTGCCAAGAGTGGGAATTCATGGTAGAAGTGGTGTAACATCTGCAGAATCCCTGGCATTATCTGCGAGACCACTCAAATTCCCTTCTTAAAGGCACTAAATGGGGAAGATGCAGGAGCTTGACTGATGCTTTTGGCCTTGTATGAAGTCAGATAAGCATAAAGAGACATTAGAGTGATTTCTGATTCTGTAAATCTGTCATAGTTCAGGTAAATTAAAATGGAAAAACTAATCTTGTGCACATTGCCCGCCTATCTCATTCTTGTTGAACAAATAAACCTGGACTTTCTCTTTAATCGCAAGTATTTTTGATGTTTGAGCTTAGGAAAGGGAAAAAAAAAAGTGCAATGGCTTTTATGAGAGGAAGAGACTAGTAATTTGTATTTTTTTAATTACATCTGTTGACTATTGATCAAGACTAGCCAATTTTTAAGATCACGAGCAGTGCTTTTCAAAGCAATGCTATGATATGTTAAAAAGTAGACTAGTGGAGTGGTCTCATATCTTGTCTTCATGGTTTTTCTCTCTTTGTTCTGCTGCAGAACAGTAGTTTTTGTAGCTGTTCCAGCATTGTATTCAACAGGGACAGGCAGACAGTTGCTCTAACTCATCAGCTGTGGGTGGAAAAAGCTCTAAATTTGGGCTAACATTGTGTTTCTTTTACTCTTTTTATATCCACCTTCCTCTAGAGGTGCAAAGAAAAAGAAGAAAAGGATACAGAGGAACGAGAGAGAAAATCAGCACAACTTCACAGGTCTCAATACTCCTGTATCATCAGTTACAGCTAATGGTGTTGAAAATGAACCTACAGCCCGTGGACTGGAACTGAAGAAGAAGAAAAAGGCAGTGAGAGGCTCAAACTTGAGCACAAATGAAAAGACAAATCTTGCCTTTCAGCCTGAATGCTATGACATATAGTCATAATTTAATTCCAAATACTGGTGTGATATTCAATATACACATTGAAGGCTGCAACTGCAGTCTCACTTCTAGAATTAACAAGAAACAAAGAAATAAAAATACTCAAATATGCAAAAGTGGCACCAGTTGTGACATACTAATGGTGCAAACGTGCTTTGGAAGACTTTTGCCCTGGGTTCCTTGAAATCAGCAGAACTTGGATGTTCTGCTCTTCACTGGACTGGTAAAATCTGAAATTGTCAAATAACAATGTTAACCAATTTAATATCTGATTACACCTTAGCTTAAGCGTTTCTGTGGACTGTGGATCAATCCACTGGGAGCAGAGAATCAAGTGAGAAAGCGTGACCTAGAGCAAAACAAGCCCAAACGCTACCTAAGTTATTAAAGTAGCATTTTAAAATGTCTCATAAGTAAAATGGAGGAGTGTTCAGAATGGTAAAATTCCAAAGAAATGCTGACATTACAGTGTATCTGAAAATACAAGCTTTTTAAAAATATTTTCCTGACATCAGATATTCACTTGGACTGCATTTTGCAGCTGTGAAGTGAATTGTTGAGTAACTACCTATGCAACTACACTGTCTTCAGTGGGACTACTCATGCTTACCCATGTAAATAAGTGTTGCAAATTCCAGGCAGTTATATTTTTCAAATGATATTTTCTGCACGTAATAAAGATGCATTGCAGTTTTGTCAGAGTTCCTGGCTGCCTTGGCAGCAGTCTTGCCAAATACACTGTTCTTTGTCTGAATATTTCATATCCAACTGTGCTGTTTGTTTTACTTGTAGTCCTTATTCAGTTGTGTCATTAATATACTTTTTTACTTGAGTATTATGTTGTGAACTTTTACTAATTACTTCACTAATTATCTACAGTGCTAAATAATTTATGTTTTATATTAAACAAAACACTTTCTATCAGTTAGTGTTGGTATTTTTTATGGCTGATGATGTCCAGTTTATTTTTACTCTGCTAGGAAATTCTTCCTCCTCCCCCTCTGAAGCAATAAATAACATAAAATTAGAAAGCCCTTATTTAGTAGACAGGGCACTTGATTCCATTAAAAAAAGAAGTGAGAATAACAATGTTGGGCACTGATGTGTGAAATGCACCCAGATGCAGAGGACTAGTTGCTATATATTGTAATATCTTCCCTGCACATGTTTTAAAGACAGAAAAATCTGTAAACTTGTTTCTTTTGAGTGAAGTCTGTCAGCAAATACTCTGCTTTGGCCCCAGTGGTAACTGTTCTTTGCTAACAGTCCCAGCTTTGCTTTACCTAGAGCATATGTATGGAGTCCTCCCCCAAATGGGGCTTGCGTATGTGTACTAGAAACTTCTAAATGTCTCTTTCCCAGTCAGAGGTGGTGTAAAATTATCTTAGTCCTGGGACTGCCTGATTCTAGTGAGGCTCCTAGTCTCTTATCTCTTCTGCTTTTGCAGTATTTTCCAACTCATCTTTCTGTGTGACATGTGGGATTTAAAGATTTTATAAAAGAAAAAAATCTCAGCATCTTACGTTGCTTAAAATGTCCTGGATCACATTTAAAATAAGGGCAGAGCATGACATCAGGCTCCACGTCAGGGAGAGCTGAGCAGTAGCCAAGATCTGGGAGCTCATTGGAAAGCATTGTAAAATGTTAATTTGGCATTGTGGACACTGAAGACAGCAATAACACTTTGGATAAACACCACAGAGAGATGGTAGTTCTAATCAAAGGCACAGCACCTCCTTTCATGCTTGCGAACTAGGGCTCCGATTATGTTCACTGCTCTGAAGCTGAATAGAGCTGCTTTGCCACACTTTCCAAATTGAGAGGAGAGGCAGCGGTAGTGCCTTCCGAGGCACAGTTCCAAATAACAATTAAGCAGAAGGAATCAGATAAGAGCCAAACATGAAAATGCAGGGAGTTGAAAATAAACTTTCCATAATGTTTTCTGGTAATTGCAATAGCTTTTGTTTTGTTTTTATAATTTTTTTCCTCCCTACCACATGGCTGGTTAGAGACTTCTGTTCCTTTATACCACGTCACTGTGGCACTAGAGTTTTCTGCATTCATTTAACAGAAAATCAACAAAAAGGTCTGAAATTGAAAAAAAAAGAAAGTCTTAAGTGATCCTTCAGCATTATAATTAGAACCTTCAATCTCTTAAATTATTAACGTGGCATAATGGCAAAGACAACTTTTACCTTTTGCTCAGAAATATGGCTGATACATTCATTTCAAGAAAAACTGCTTTTCTCTTCAGTGTTAGTAGGTTCTTTATTCTTCAGGAATTGCTGCTGGGATTTTAAACTTACAAGAAAGGATAAAACTTTAAAACAGTTTGGATTAGCGTAATGGTTTTAAATTAAACTTTACATAATGCTTCTTGTTTCTGTGTTAATGAAACATGCATCTTTCTTAAAATCACTTTTAAATTAACATTGTGTACATTGGCTGAAAATTGTTGAAATATTTAAAGGAATTAAATTTCAGTGGAAGAAAAGAATTCCAGAAGGATTCAGATTGCCTACTGAAAATTTGCCTTCTTTTTTTTTAGTTGAATAACTAAATTAAGTATCCTAAAGCATGAGTGCCCTGCAAAATTGCTTCCTGAGCCGTGAATTTAAATACAAGACTTACAGAAGTCTGTTTGAGGAGTTTTTACAGGGTGATACAAGTTCCTTGCTGGAACGAAGCAGATAAAGCCTTGTTTAAAAAAGGTTAAATATTAGATATTTATAACTGCCTGGTGATAACAGCGTAGTAGGTCTTTCATTGTTCTGGTGTTTTTAGGTTTTGTGTGTGTGGTTACAACATACAGTTCCTATTACGTTTTTATGATACAACAGAGACATCGAGAGCAATGAATAAATCGGCAGAATACAAAAGAGTGGATGGCACATTTTGTCTGTATTTCCCAGTAGCCATCAGATTGCATTTAGTTTTTTCCTTAAAATAATTTGAAAACCAGGCATCGTAAAACACAGTAAGTGTATTTGTAGCATCACTTAATTCAGAAGGCAGTAGGGGATGGATCACAGTCAAACAAGGGCTAATGAGAACACAGAGGAACATGACAACTGAAAGTCTCTGTTGACTAGTGAACTAAATCTGCCGGCTGGACCCGATTGTCTGACGGAGAATTGAATGTCAGGATCATTTAGGGTTGACAATGGCCCATTACAAGCAAAAGCAGACAGCTATGAAAAATAGCCGGCATGGTAGCCATTCTGCAGAGACCGTGGATACAAACTTGATAATGAGGCACTTCATTCACTACATCCTTCTGCTCTAATTACTAAGGTGAATAGGAAATACTTCATTTAAGGCGGGAACAGACTAAAGCAAAAACACTTGTTTGGTAAACACAAAGAGTGGTGGAGTTTTTTAATGATCCTTTTCTGGCACGTATGAAATTAGTATGTATGCAGTGCAGCCTATGTTATGGATGTGGAAACTGGGAGGGGATAGAAGTATTTTCTCAACAGTGGAGGGAGGCTAGAAAGATTTGCGTACAGGTTTGTACTGTGGGGTTTTTCCGTTAGCATTCTGTCCAATGACTATCCAGAATGTTTTGGACAAATTAATTTATGGATGTACACCTGCACTTGTAAAAACATACGGTGTTAGTTCAAGGAGTTTTATTATTGGAGTATAAAAAACATTCATTAGGAACAAAGCTGCTGCACATAAGGAATAGAAACAAGAGGAGGTCTGAGAGAGGGAAATAAGCAGCCTGAGAAGAAAACTGCTGTCTGGGGGAGACTTGCAAGAATGTGGCAATTAGAAATTGGAACTTAAGAAGAAGGAACAGAAGATAGTGAGAAAGCGTGTTATAGCACAGCTTTGGTGGCTTCAGTCATGTTTTTTAGGCTTCAGAAATTAAGATATTTAACCACTTCACTTTTTAATACATTCAACTTTTGTGCCATTTACAGGACCTTTTTGGATGAGCTGTTAGAACCTGTGAGGAATATTCCCCTGTGTCTCTCCAGTAACTCAGTGCTGTTTAACTGGGCAGAAAAGACCGTATCGTCTATGGCTTGCACCGCTGTTGGGACAGATGAAGCTTTGGTTCCCTAATTTCTGGCGTGAGTCTTCAGAGGGCACCTTTATAGTTGTTGTCTGTTGCAATACACACCTTTGCCGTGATTCACTCCGCTTCAGCCTCTTCATCTGGCACAAAACGGCTAGGGCAGAGATGAGAATTGCACACCAAGCGTCAAGCTGCTGTTTTGAGCATTGTGTATCATATGATCCTTTTCTTACATGTAGATGTGTTCTGCTCACAGTGGTTTTGCCAAGAGTTTTGTCCTTGTTGAGTCTGTTGTATGCCAGTTGTTTGCTGCCTTCCCCTTCAGAAGGGTGTTTTCCAGCAGTGGCGTGTAGATGTAGAGTCCCGGTCCTGTAAGCTGCTCAGAGTAGACAGACCCCTGTACTCAAAACTCCAGCAAAGTCAGCAAGGATTAGGCTTTCAGCATCAACATCCTGACTGTAGTGTATACGTTGGCGTACACTAACTTTAAAGACTGGTAAAATATTTTCTAGCTTGTACTCGTGAATTAAAACGATAGCTGTGCATTTCATCTAAAACTCCAGCCGCCTGATGTTTTGCAAGGACTTTGTGAGGCCAAATGAATTTGCACTATGTTTGGCTGTGACAAGCAAGTTTACAAGTCCTGTCTAATGCTCAAATGCAAATACTCGGCAGAAACTGCAGATGCCACTTTTAGCGGCAAAATGTTTCCACACCAGTAAAGCAATATCAGTAAAATCTATGCTCTGAGCAGACATCAAATTTTTGTTGCACTTGTATTGCCTGCACAGGCAGGGAGTATAATAAACTAGTGTGTAGCAGCTGTAAATTTTCTGAGGATTTATCTAACCACAAATACATCGAAATGGGGAAATAGGGCTATATTAAACTGTGCAAGATGCTGCTGGAACTCAGCCATTTCTGCAACATCCTGTAATTAATTTATTATGACAGGTCTGGCAAACTGAAA